ATAGATTCATTATCATCCAGGTTGATTTTGTGGAATCTGAACCTTTCATCAATTACCAATGGCTTTGGTGAAAAATAGTTCTGGAACCTGGCTTCTCTGGCTCTATCAGACTTCTCAGTAGGTTAAAGATTTCTGCACCATAATACTCAGAAATGCAGAGATTATTATAGCTGCTTCAATTTTGTAAGCTTAAACAAAATAATTGAATCCCTATATGTAGGATTTTCATGTAGTATTTTCATGTAAATTCATGTATTTTTATCAGACGGTCCTACAGCACCACAATTTTGCGCTTTTTTGTTGTTTTATTTTAGAATGGAAAGAGCCTGCATAACCCAATTTACCACTAAAATTTTAGGATTACCTTGCTTTTTCCCATTTAAAACAAGGTATTCCTGAGGCTACCTGTTTATTTGAGTCTACACCCCAGCTCAAAACATTTCCCTCCGTTTCCGGCACTCATTTCTCACAGTATTCCTTCAGGGTGTGGCATATGGCAAGCTTTTTCTGCACTGTTCACTTCTTCCCTGATGTGAACTTTATTTTAATCCATGTTAACTGTGCCTGTAAATTTTATCTTTGTTGGTAGTGTTTTTCTTGTGTTATACTTCAAGAAGGACTAAGGACCACAATATTCACGGGAACTTTCATTGAGGAGATGATCGTTCTGCAAGGCAGCAAGCTGGACTGAGTTGATTACATGATTGGATACGTAAAATGACAGTCAAAAATGCTTACATAACACACAACACCGCCAACAAATTTACGAATGTTTTCTACTGGGCCCGATCTCCTCCACTGGGTCTGATCTACTCCACTGGGCCTGCTCTCTTCCACAGGGCCTGATTTCCTACACTGGGCCTGATCTCCATTGTGTCTGATCTCCTCCATTGGGTCTGATCTCTTCCACTGGGCCTGACCTCCTCCACTAGACCTAATCTCCTCCACTGGGTTTGATCTCCTCCATTGGGCTTGATCTCTTCCACTGGGCCTGATCTCTTTCTTTGGGCCTGATTTCCTCCAATGGGACTGATGTCCTCCACTCAGCAGAATCTCCTTTACACAGCCTGATCTTCACTGAGCGAGATTTTCTCCACTTGGCTAGATCTTGCCCACTTGGCCTGATCCTCTTTGCTGGTTATTTTTTATACCTCACAGCAGGCCACATGCTTGGGTTTTCATACTACAAAGCATGCAGGTGCCCTGCTGATAAGCTCCTCGATAGATATGACCTGAGCCAGAATCCACCCAAAAAAAACAGCCAAAATTCATAGAAAGTTCCCACGCAATCAGCTGACAATTAGAAACATTATTCTTCAGGAAGGAAGTTAAGATCAGGATAAACATATTTTAATCAAAATTCTGCTTTAGTACAATTAGTACAGAACTGGGATTAAACCTGGGACACTTAGACCCCTTGAGGGAGCAATTGGACTTGCCTGCCTTCATTGAAAATACTAATTTCTGGAGTCACTGCCAAAGAATGAGAGGAAGATGCTTAACATCATACTGAGTCAGGAGGTTTCTGCAGGTGTTGGATCGCAAACGGAAATGAGGAGCAATCCTATTCCTGGACTCCGTTTTGAAATTTACTGAACAGATTGCTTGCTCCATTCGAGATCTACCAGTTACTACAGTTAAACACCAACAAGCAACAAAAAAAGTAAGTATAATTTTAACAACAACATTTTACATGGTACTTTATGGCTCTCCTGGCCCGTCCATTCTCCTGAGAGCTGCCTAACAGCCTCGCAGTAACAAACATAAACACAAGTTCTGTTTCTCCACCATCAGATATCCAGTACCTTCCTGAAATGAATAACAGGGTCCTATATACTTCTTGGAAACCAGAATTTTGAACAAACCCTTCTTTGTCCTTTCCAAAGGAACAATCTCGTCACAACAATGGCAGAAACAAGGTGGTATGTAATTCCCCATCATTTTGCAATACTGCTGCTTGAGGAGACAGAGTTCAATGTCTTGCTGCATCTCATTTCCAATGGAAGCAGTGCCATTGAAAACAGAAAACCCCGTCTCACAAACCATTGTGTTTTTACTTGACCTACAACTATCTTTTCTTCTCGCAGTAAGGTTCGTTTATGATGAAAAATCGAGCAGCAATCCTTACTACCGCAATGTAATCATCTTTCCAATGGGAAACCACATTTCAGGTCTTGAGTAAAGACACACACTTCATTAGAAAGTGGCTGGGCCATGCACATAGGGACGCTGCTGCACTCCACTATAGGGTAATACAAGACTCACACTAACATCACACCAATTTTGAAGCTGTGACTTTTTGCATCCCTTAATATTCTTTTCAAGTTAAAATTGCCAAAGGTTTAGTAGAAATAAAGCACAGAGAACAAAGAACAATACAGCACAGGAACAGGCCTTTGGCCCTCCAAGCCTGCACTGACACATTTTGTCCTTCTGTACTAAAATTGCCTTCACTTATTGGATCCGTATCCCTCTATTCCTTTCTTATTCATTTATTCATCCAGGTGCTTCTTGAATGTTGCTATTGTGTGTGCTTCCACCACCTCCTCTGGCAGTGTGTTCCAGGCACTCACCAGCCTTTGTGTGAAAAACTTGCCTCGCACATCTCTTTTAAACTTTCCCCCCAACTTCAGCCCGCACCTTGAACCTGTGTCCCCTAACTGACAGCTCCACCCTGGGAAAAAGCCTCATACTTTCCGCTCTATCAATGCCATTTATAATCTTATTAACATCTATCAGTTTGCCTCTCAACCTCCTGCATTCCTGCGAAAACAAACGCAGTCTATCCAACCTTTCTTCATTGCTATAATCCCCCACACCAGGCAACATCCTGGTGAACCTTTTCTGTACCCTCTCCAAAGCACCCACATCCTTCTGATAGTGTGGTGACCAGGGCTATATGCAATATTCCAACTGTGGCCTAACTAAAGTTCTATAAAGCTGCAAGTTCTATAAAACTCTATAAATATTATCTATCATATTGCAACAGTACAAGGTTATATCATATAGTCTGATTTCCTAAAGCATCTCTACAAGCTTCAAAATACAAATCAGGAGTATTCTTCACTTGTCTGGATGAATGCAGCACACATATCCATGACAGAACAATCAGTTTAATTGACACACATCCATCAGTTAGAATATCCACTACCTCCACCAGCAGAGCATCAGTGTGTATCACATATATGAGGTACTTCTGCAACTCACCAAGACGTCTTCAACAGCACATGTTTAATTCATGATCTCTACTATGTCAAAGCATACTGGCAGCACTTGCATGGGAATATCATGGCCTCCAAGATCTACTTTAAGTCACACGTTATCCTGACATGGAAATGTATCTTTCCTTAATTGTTACTGAGTCAAAATCCTTAAACTCTCCAACCTAGTAACACTGCAGAAGAACTTCCATCACATAGACTTGAATGGTTCAAGCAAAAAATTCACAACCACCTTCTCAAAGGCATTTAAGGGTTGGAAAATGGATGCTTGTCTTTTAATTGACACACCATATCCCAAAATGAAGAAAGTTTTCCCAGGAGGCAAGAGTCAAATAACGTACAACATAAGAAAACAGGAAATTAAATAAAATGTTACAAGTGAAATCTGTCAAATGATGCAACTCTGCTTCTAAAGAATATTGTGAAAGGCAAAGACTGTGTAATTTCAACTGACATGTTGTTGGTTAGCAGCGCATGTCAGAGTATTGTTACATATCTACCTCTGCTTCCAGAAACTTCATCCATTGGTATTTCTTTAACAAACTTTGTTAATCCTTTAAATTATGGTGACATAAACAAAAAATTGCCTGATAATGGAACACACGCACGCACGTAGTAAAATAGCATAATGAGACTTGTTGACTCTTGTGTACTTGTAGTTCAGGTATTACTCACTATCTCATCCAACTGCTCTAACCTGATCACAGACAGGAAGTGATTAAGACCAAACCTGTCACTCTTGATAACACCCCACACCTTTTCTCACTGGCACCAAATCTCCCAACTGTGGATGCTTCTGTTTTCTTTCAGCTACGTATGAGTAAGTATTGAAGAAAATATAAAACTATGAAATGTTTATCATTTCAGGCACAATATTAAAAAAAATGACATGCATGGGTGAGAAGTTGGCTAACCCAAGTTTATCATGCTATTTGCAACACAATAAACAACTCGTACCTGATTTCTGCATGTGGCCAGTGCTAACCACACTGTTCATTGGCAGCATGCATCAGCAAGGCCCAGATTTCATGAGTGGCTAGCTCTACTTAAAGACAGTCAGCCCCTCTTAAAGGTTGTAAGTAAAGTTGAATTATTTGAAAACTGTATCTGTGCCATGATACTGTGAATAATGATTGCCCATTTGACAGAGTGTGCACTGAAGGCTTCCAGCAATGCAGTGTGACATGAGATGGTGAGATATACTGAGGATGTGCCACTGTCACACTGTGAAATTGATTCATATCATACCTTGAGCTGGTCTTCAAGTAGTCTGTGGATTTTCTCTGCATTCTTTTTATCATCCTCTGAAAGACTGGATGTGTGAAGCCCCTCCTTGCCTTGAGCAAATACTATTTTAAGAGATATCCTCTCAGGAGATCTTTATGGCTTGGTCTGAGAAGTAAAACTGCATATTAGCTTAAACAGCTATACTTTGATGAAAATATCACTTACTGTTCAATTATATTCAATTGTTTGCCCTCCATTTCTTGTTGAAGGTCTCTGGCTTTTTGCTTTTTAGAAGTAAACTGCATGGCTTGTTTCTTCCTTTCTATTACTTGATTCACTGTTCTGTCCGTTTATTTTTCCTCATTTTGCTTCTACTTTGCTTAATTTTTCAGTGTTGTAGCCCTTTAAGAACTCTTGCTGTATTTGGGTCTGTGTGAGCCTGTATCTTTGAGATAAAAAGGCCCATAGTAGTAGATTTCAGTCACTAGGGGGGACCTCACACTAAATAAGGAATGATGATGTCATACCAGCTTTGGTACTGAATTGAAAGAAACAAAATGGTGAAACTAGCTGGCCATTGTACGCAGATAAACTCCTCTAGGTTAGAAAATTACATTTTGTTACCTAAAATGCTTTTCTTCTCAAAAAGGAGGACACTATAGTTAAACTTATGGTATCCTTTGATTATATGTTATTTCTAAGCCTGTAAGAAGCTTTTGAGCTGTGGATTTTGCTTTTAAACCAACAAGAAGTTTTTTTTTTAAATGCTGCATCTTAACTTTTATATCAGGAACCAGATCAGAACTTAATTTTTCTGCCTTTGTAAATGAGATAGAGTTTCCACTGTCTTGAACCTTAAGTGGAAAGAAGGTAAATCTGCTTCCTGACTATTTAAGTTGGAGCTTAATAGTCATGTGAAATTATTGTTATTGGTCACCCAAATGCTTTATGATCCAGGGCTGTCTAATCTTCAGTAAGGAAACTTTATAAGCAGCTACTTGAGCTTACTATCGCACTACCACCGTGATGTTAAATTTACTGATGATCTTCCACTACTTACAGTAACTTCCGTAACATAAAGACAAGACGTAGGTCATGTAGTCACTAAGAATTTAATGAACATTTTTTTGCAGCTCCTGGATTTTACATATTGCAGGCATCTGCGCTCAAGCTAAGCAATTAGGATCTACTGCAGCAAACTTCCCTCAGCATTTAATGCTGCAAGAGAACAAAATTAAGAAAAATAAAGACTGAGAACTTTATACCATTAGGTCCCATGCCATGATACGGTGATGAAATAGTGAGCACGATTTTTGAATTATATCACCATCTGCTGTGAGACATGACACAATACCATGGAGATGTGCTGGAAGAGGTATAAAGAAGCAGAGAGTGTCCAGTATTCGTATTAGGCATAAGGGCGACTGACAATTGCTGAGTAATAATGGGAAGACATAGTGGTGACTGTAAACCTCTGGCATGTTACTCAAGAATATGGATGTAATGTAGAGAGACGTTGACTAATTTCACGAGTTTTTGAGGTGAGTGTGCTATTCTTCAACTAGCATATCATACCACTGCATTCCTAACCTTATTAATTAGGCAACCCACTACAACGCCATTATGTGCAGGCCAAATGTTTCTACCAATCAGGACTTAATTCAATAGTTCTTGGGTTTCCCTCAAACTCTGCAAACTTTTCAACTACAACCCATGCTTGCAAACGCTGGGTGCTATTCAGTTATGGCAGTCACATCACACAAACACAGGGTGCTAAAACGTTTCCCTCCTTTTTTTTGCAGGAGAAGGTACTGAAGAAACAAGGCAGCAGCAAATGACTGCAGGAGAATAAAGGTAGCTATAGGTTTTAACACATGGAGATGACAGTATTAACCATGACAGGAAGGAATATCACTGAGATCCTGGCTGCTGGCAGGGTGAAGTGACGAATGATGATGAATTCCATAACGTTAATCATTCTTCTCTCTTCCAATCTACCCCTTATTCAATTTCATTTCTACTTCAAAGTTGCAGACGATGTAAGTTAACAAATACCTTTTCCCTTCTTTCACTTCAGTCTTCAAGAATTGTTACTTTGCCAGTCAATGGACAAGGAGGGGGATAAAAAACAAAGCAAAATGGATTGTCATTTGATTTTAAACTTCTAATCTTCAGCTCATTTACTGACACTGTGGCTGGAATCTTCTGCTCTTACAATATTAGCAGTTGTCAGGTTTGTCAGTTCTGGATATCAACCCCAGGAAAGTCAGAATTGTGCTTACAATTAGGATGATGCATTTCAGAGGACTCCTTTATGTTAGGTATTGAATTAAGGATGGTGGATGTGTGCGTTGCCCTTGTGGAACATGGAGAACGGTGGCCCACTATAATGGAAGCTGTCAGCCCTGACTTTGAGACCAGTGGGTGCACTGTTAAAGCTGGTGGATGGTATGGCGAGGAGCTGCTGCTGCCACCATTAGGATCTATGGAGCAGATGCAAGGCTCAATGCATAAGGCCATTGGACACAAATAATAACAATCAAATGTGGTCTAAAGAAATACCTGAGACCTAATGAAATGCTGTATCAAGTGGTGGATATATTAAGTTAATTGGGTTTAAATTGTTGTATAAATATGGGGAGTTAATAATCAGTCAAGGGTGAGTTTCATGGAGTGGGGCTAACTGAAATAAAGCTCTCACATCGAAGTGTGAACTTTAATTAAAGTTATCTATTGGAGTGTAATACGAATGTCTCCGCAATTTTGTCACTGAATGATAATGCTGTGATTGGGGGTGGTGGTTGGGGGTTGGGAGGTGGTATGGGGGCGCGGGGGGGAGGCGGGGCGGGGAGGCGGTCAAAAGCCTTGTCATTTGTTGCCAATGAGCACTGCAACAACTTTAGAAGTAACAAGACTGCAACCTGCCCATGTGAAGCTGCTTCCTCTCATCTGCTGAAGGAAACAAACACTAAAAATCTGCAGCTGCCCTGCCATGGTTCTGGACATCTGCTCCAGACATAGGAAATCTGTGTCCCACCTGGCAGGCAGAGACCTGGAGCACCTGATGGGCAGGCACTGATGTCCTCTTTATCCAGGATAGCAGTGGAAGCCACCACACCAGACTATGTCAACCTGATCTGCAGCTGCCACCCAGGTCTGTGCAGTCGAAGCTATTTGGAAGAATGCCCAGAACCGTGGAAGAAGTTAAATGAACTTCTCTACTCCAAAAGTGTCATCAACTTTCATTTCCCTTAATACCTACCTCGTTCTCATTACAGTAATACCTACCTCTTTCTCATTACAGTAATACCCACCTCTTTCTCATAAAAGTAATACCTACCTCTTTCTAATTACAGGAAGAAGACAGCTTATAATAAGGCAAAAAAAAAGCAGTAGGCTGCCTGACATTCACCTCCTTACCCCCTATGTGGAGAACATCCTAACACTGACCACCCTTGAGTGGATGACTGATCATATCCAAGCCCCTGAATTTGTTTTGGAGGCTGCTGTTGACTCACTGTGCTGGTAGTCACTGAGCAAAGGCTATCCCCCTTAACTTGGTTGATGACTGCTGACAATCATGACAAGCTTCCTGCCTTTGCGTCTGTGCTGAATGGCAAGGCAAGACAGAAGTAATTTGAACCCGGTATCTCTGGTTGAGTGTTCACAGTGCAAATAAGCAAGACAGTGCAATGCAAGGCTGGGATTCTGAGAGAATCCAAGTAGGCTCAGCGTGTATAAGTGCCATGGCAATGAGCAGAGCCTAAAGATGCAACATGATCCAGTCTAAGATATGTGTGTCCCTGAGCACACAGTGTCCTTGCTACATCATTACAACGATAGTAGCCAGTGCAGCTCGAGATGCGGTATTTAAGTGCTGAAGCATCTTGCAAGTGGATTGGAGATATGCCATGAATGTTCTTAGAGGTTAGCACATGTCAGATGCCAATGTTCCTGGAGGTGGGGTGTTTGTTGCTGGTACCAATTGACTGTGCCCTCAGATGTTGGTTCTCTGTATCCAACGCCGAACTGCTATTTAGTAAGTGGTGAGCTGAAGTCACCAGGTATCTATTCTGACTTCCTATGAAGAATTTTCAATATTTAGCTTGTTTTCATGTTTGATAAGATAGGGAGCTAAATATTAATAAAGTCAGTTGTGCTGTTAATAATGTGCTAAACAAGCAATAGTCACCATGATTGGCAATCTGCAGATCCATAAAAGATGCAACGAGTTACTCCTGTCAATGAGATAGGCCTCACCAGACTCCCCACATGATTCTACCACAAATTACATCGTAGCCCACATCAGGCCATGATAAAATTTCGCTGGATGAGTATTTCTGGAATTCCCTGTCAAACACTTTTTGTCCCAGTTTTTCCAATCAGAAACAGAAACTTTATTTCTGCCCTGGAGATTCCTGAAAAGAAGCCTGCTGTTATGAACTTGTCCAGGAAACCAGGTATCTACCAGCAAAGAAAGTCTTTGTAGAAACCACATCCCCTTTTATAGCATTGAGTGTACCATGTTCTATGGTTTAAATTTCCAGTGGCACTGCCAACCATTTTGACAGCTGCTGTTAAAGGACAAGTATGCGAAGCTAGTTTTGAAGTTCGGGTGACAGGTTTTAGGTCCTGGGTGGGTGAGGGAGGTACTGTGCCATACAGGTGAAGTGAATATTGTACTAGGTAGGTGAGGGTGGTAGAATTCTGGGTAAGTCAAGTGGGTAGCATGCCAGGTGGATGAGACGAGAAGCATGCCATTTAGATGGGATGCCAGATGGGTAAGGTGCCAAGTGAGTGAAGTCAGTAGCATGCCATTTGGGTGGATTGCTAGGTTGGTAGGTTGGACGGAAAGGTGAATGAGCTGGCAAGGATGTGGTGTTCGTCCAACATACAGGAAGGGTTAGCCGTTCTCGGATTCAGGAGATGTTGGACCTAAGTGAGCAGGGATGGTGTTGGTTCTGGTGTAGGCATCAGGAGGAGGGAGTGGCATTAAGTATGGGGAAGTGTGGATATCAGGCTGGAATATGTGGGAGTGATATGCTGGAGGGGGTCAGACCAATGTTGGGAGGGAATGTCAGATCAAGTTTGGTGGGTTGTCAGGTTGGGGGTGAGGGAATATGCCAGGCTGTAGTCTCATTGAGGGGTGAAGTCTACTGATTCCAACAGGTGAGAGCAGGTGCCAGCTCTGGGGTTGGGGGTTTTATCACATTGGCAATGAGAATATTGGGTCTGGGGCATTAGGGATGCAGGGGTGTCCACTGAGCGGATGGGAAAGACTGGCTGGGATGCAGAGGGAATGTGCCACATCTGTCAGAGTTGAATCTGTGTGATGTAGATCAGGTTTGAGAGGTGCGTGTTTGTCAGTGTATGTAAGGGGTTGGGGGAGGTGTATCTGTTGTGAGGGATTGGGTGTTGGTGGTGAGCTAGGTGCCAGTTTAATAAATACCCAGGAGCTAGAACACGTTTATAATCCCCTAACATTTTCTGGGTAAAAAGGGAGGCAGGGCCCTCTGAATTGGGACATTTTTAAAAGCCAACAAACAATGACATAAAAAAGGAAAAAAATAAACTGATGGCATACTAAAATGTAATATAAAATTGGACAAGAAGAGCTTCTTTAAATATACAAAACAGAAAAGAAAGGCCAAAGGAAACATGGGCCCCCAAGGGAATGAAGCTGGGGAAATGTTGATGTGGAGCCAGAAAATGGCAGATGAGTTAAACAAATAGAATATAATGTTAGAAAATATGAGGTATGCACTTTGGCAGGAAGAATAGAACAGCTGAATATTATTTATCTGGGTAAAGATTGCAGAAACTGGAAACCAGTGGGATTTGGTGTTCTTGTACATGAATCACAATAAGCTAACATACAAATTCAGTGGGTGATAGGGAAAACAAATGGAATGTTGGTTTATTTGAAAGGGAATAAAAAACAGGGAGGTTTTGCTAAAATGTTACAAATTTGTCAGACAACAACTAGAATAACGCATACCGTTTGATTCCCTTATCTTTCCATAGATATAGTGTTATCGGAGGCAGCCCAGAGATGGTTCACTAGGTTGATTCCATTTGTGGAGGCATTTTCTTTTTGAGGAGAGGTTTAGGTTGGGTTTGTACTCATTGGAATTTAGAAAATGAGAAGCTGCTTTATTGAAATGCACAAAATTTCTAGGGTAGATGCAGAGACATTGTTTCCTCTTGTGAGAGAGCCTAGAACCTGATTGTGTAATCTCAAAGAAAGGGGTTGCCCATTTAAGACAGCAATGAGGATTTTTTTTTCTCTTAGAGGGGAGTCAATCTGTGGAATTCCTTACCACAAAGGGTTGTCAAATCTGGATTGTTAAGTATATTCAAGGCTGATATAGACAAATTTCTAGAAAATGGAGTTGAGTATCATTAGATTAGCCATGATCTCAGTGAATGGTAGAGCAGGTTCATTAGGCCAAATGTTCTACTTCTGCTCCTATGTCTTATGAAATTCTCCAATTTTAATAGACTCTTTCAGAGTGTTCGCATGGGATTGCCTTGGAAAATTGAGCAGGTTGAGTATCACTGTCAATACCTGAGGAACACATCAAGTATCTTCACCATTCTTGCACTTACTGTACCTTCAGACGGTGTCACACAATTGCTGGAAAACTAAATTTCTGCATTAAGCAGAGATCACATATTTCAGGCCCTTTTGAAATCAGTTTCCCTTAGAAACTCTTCTCTTCCGGTGTCTGACTTGGTCTATAACAATTTTCAAAATTACATAAGAAAGTTGCTGAGTAAATACTTTTCAATGAAAGCAACTATTCTGCCACTACATATCTAAATTTGATTAAATACTAGAAAGCCTTTAGACCATATTCAGCAAAATACTGGATGCATAGTCTAACAATGTAACAGAGTGATAATGGAAGCCTTAAAGATGAATTTACTACAGAAGGAATGAGCTGTTCTGCAATTATTCCATTCAATTACATTTTTCATTGACTTGCAGTGCAGACCTCGTTTGTCACCTTCTGAATCAAAGGGCATATTATAGTATTTTTAAAAATCTCACACAATGGTGGATTTATTCCACACATGACCTTAAAGATAATAATACAGGCGTGATTTCACTGGGGTTATTTAAAATGCTGCAGATCCAGGAATTCTGCAAAGATTCTCTGGATAATACAGGTCCTATATATATCAAGCACGGAAAAGGCTAATTTAAGGAATAGTAAATGCCTGCTTAAAAGCATCTTAGTTCGAGAGTGACCACATGGAGAAAATGAGGATCTACTTATTGTTTCCACAGTTTGGTGAACTAGGAACATAAATGCAGTTACTCGAGGTAAGGAGATAAAATGTGTGCAAGGACAAAATTTACAATTCTCACTCTTGTTGACTGATGAAGTAGAACAAATACAATGCCGTAGATGATGATTCATTTTGAAGCATCCTCAAAACCTTAAGGAGTGTCAGGGCTACTTGCTCAAGTTTTGGAAGAAAAAGATCTTACATCTTTGTTAAAGAATGGTTGTATTGCTTATTCATTGAAATGTGGGCGTATAAAAAATAATCTCAAAAGCCACTGATTCTGAGTGCAAAACAGGTTGATGTGCCAGCAATGTACTGCTGGCTGTATGTGATTAGAGTACAGTCGAAGTATATCACATTCAAGCAAGGTACAATATTTGTTTAGGAACGGGCGACCTTGCTTTCTTTTATCATTTCCAGAATCCTTGTTCTATGTTATCAATGTGAA